AGATTCTTACTTCAAATGCGAATCTCTCAAGCGAAAAATCATCGTATCGAGATGCATAAAAAAGCATTTTTAAAGAGGAGACTCTGTACTTCCGTACGCTTTTTGATCCCAATAAGCTTACAATTTTTGTTTATACCGTGCACCGTCGCAAACTCGAACCATTATTTTTCAATTTTGCATGCTCGCGCTTTGTCATCCGCCATTTTCAATAAATTTATTTTGCAACATTGAAATAAATTGATTCTTAAAGTAGAGATTTTTAGCTTTATTTCCATATTTTATAGAACTTTCTATCTTTATTATTTACGAAGTTATCGTCAGTTGAAATTTGATGAATTTTTCTCACATTTTCAGTGTACCGCTTTTTTTTTCGGGTGAGTGTAGAAAGTGATTTCAATTTTAGAAAAAAGTTGATTAATAATTTATAACATAAAAAATGCATTTTTAAAGTAAAAAAATTCTACATTGAGACTGATATTTCTACAATCGTAAATCTTTAATATTTATCTTAAAGTAGTCGAAAAATATATATAGACTTGTAAAGATGTATGTAAACATATAAATATGTTTGAAACATATAAATATACTTGATAACAAGCATTTTTGTGACCTTAATGTGTGACGTTTCATCGCTAGAACTTTGAGTATTATTATTGGAAACAGCGAAAGTGAAAATAAACATTCTTCAGACATGATTCTGCTTGCGGATATTGTGCATTATCGGAGTATTGAGCGTTACTATCACTATTAGTAAAACTAACATTATAATATTTATTTATAATATTTAATTTTTATTTTAATATGGTGAGAAAACAATTTAAAAGTGCAGAAAAACTAGAAAATTATAAAATAAACATATACATAAGGCGCGTTTTTAAGTAAAGTCCGATTATAAAAAAAAAAACTATACACTTAAAAGTTGTGACGTGACGCTTTCCGTCGCGCCCGTCACAAGGGCAGTAGCCCGGCCGAAGAAGGCGGAATTTGGAGTTGCGTCCCTCCGGTCGAAGAGGGAGCAATTTCTCCTGCTTCGACGGGTCTTGCGTTCTCCTGTAAATTGTAATAATATACCGACAAGCTTAGAATTTTAGCGTTAAAATGTATGGCCACTTTATTGCGTCATGTAATTAAGCCAAAAAGAAGCAAATGCCGGGGGATTTTGGAAAATGACCTCGACAGTGGAGAGGATGCCCGAAAAACATACGAAACCAAGGTCATGTATCGAGTCTCGCGTTGAACATTGTAGTAACAGTTACCGATCCTCCAACTTTACAGGACCGAGGTCATGGGGAAGCCCCGATAAGATCCACGTTAAAGAGAGCACGGCAGTGCGACCGGATGCCGGATGACGTTGCCGCCATCACCGAGAGTCCAAACAGATGGTCGGTGTAGCCTTGGCCTGGCCAGTCGGGCGAATCGAACCGGGGGACATCTAAGAGAGATTCATCATTTCAAATTATCGGCTGTTGGCGAGCACGAGGAACAGGATAAATAATTGACGAGGTCGCAGCTGTTTACGATCCACAGGCGACTCGAGGGAAAAATTATAAACAGAGTGCGCTGACCGATGCGTGGAGACTCGACATGGGCCAGGAGGACCTCAGAGAAATCACTATTTGACGAGCCAGCAACTAGAAAGGAGCAGCTCCAGAAAGAGGGTCCCGACGAGCGTACCGTCTTTGTAAGGCCATCATCCAGGGTAGCTATAATCTCGCAATACCGGCCGAAGCTAACGCCTCCGGCGAATTCAGTTACCGTAAGAATGTTGCGATCGTTCTTGATTGCTGAAACATAGCGTACCGATACCGCTTCCCGTGAGTTTAAGAGCCGGAGGTTGGCTGGCCCCGGTTACCGTGTTACCGTAGCTCTCTTCGAGACGCTGAGCCGTCGACAGTCCAAACGCTCGTAATCCGAGAAAGGATAATCCCGTTACCGTCTCCGTCTTACCGGAGTTATCAGTTACCTGTTATCGCTGACGTTACCGCGTGTCACCGTTGTTTTGAGAAGATACCGTTTGATAAAGTTGATAGAGAATTTGAGTCGCGGAATTTGCGTGCAGTGCAGTTCCGTCTCGCAGCGAGAGTTTGAATTCGGCCTTGTGACGTAACGGTCAACTCGTCGCGGAAACTTGAGTGCCTCTTTCGAAATTACCGTTGATATTACGTTTTGCCGGCTACCGAAATTTATGTGCTACCGTTAGTACGGATTTGGCCTTGGAACGTCGTCTCTGGGCGAGATTCCGAATTCACGCCTTTAAGGAAATTGGACGTCTCCGGCAAGACTCTCTCTCTTTGTCTCCTCTGCCTTTCGGTGTTACCGTTTGGGGCCTGCATTGGAGCGTCGTTTCTTGGCGGAATCTCGTCGCAGTTTTAGGAGGAGACTGGGACGTATCTGGCAAATCTATTACCGTATCGTTCATCGTAACGTTCTTCTAAGTATTGTTTTGCGTATCGTTTCGATTGCCGTTTCTAAATGTCATTGTGCGTTCCGATTATCGTGTTTAAATCTCATTGTAAGTAACGTTTTCGGCTATCGTTTTGCGTATCGTTTTCTGAGTATCTTTTTTGAGTATCGCTTTGATTGCCGCTTTTAAGTATCGTTTGGCGTGCCGTTGCTGATTGCCGTTTTTGCGTATCATTTCCAAATATCGTTGGAGTATCGTTTCGGCTGTTGTCTCCGAGTATCGTTTCTGGAGTATCGTTTTTGGGAGTATCGCTCTTGGTTACCGTCTTTTGAACAATATCAGTTTGAGTATTGGATTCTGTGACGCATTGTTTGGTGCATATTGTATTTTGATTTGCGTGCGATACCGTCTCTCTTAAAGAGATTCTAAAGCTTGTTCTGCCATGTTAATTCATAATTCTTTCATAATAAGTGTTGTTAACTTTTATTGTTAAACGTGGTGTTTTTCTTTTTCCTCTCCAGAATCTCCAATAGAAATTAAAGAACTACGCCTCTCTGC